GGTATGCGGGCCATCACCTGCCTCCGAAATCGATCATGATCATGACGCGGAGCTGGCCCTTACACCACTCAAAGTCGCTGCAGCGGCAGCGGCAGAGGCAGCGACAGCGACTGGGCCTGCGACAGCGAGGCAGCGCAGTTGCGACAGCGCCGACAGCATATTCACCTGTTGTTTTTATTATGTATACCCTCTCCGAGAGGAGAGTACAATGGCTTTGGGCCGAAGTTTGCAGCGCAGAGAAGAGAGCATTCCGACCCTGTTCCATGGGCATCCAAATTGCAGTATCGTATGTTTCCACATGGCAGAGCCACGAATGATAGAAATCTGTCGGCCATTAGGCCATAGGAAAGATGGGTCTGCGGGGATTTCTCTTTATGTTCGGACCTTAAACTGACCTGGCCTTTCTTTCTGGTTTTCGGATGGTCCACTCGGAGATTTCCCAACGCAAGGGAGTGGTGCCGAGCTGGTGGGCGGGGAACGGTTCATCTTGAGTCGTGAATAGGCCAAATCAAGTCCCACGAAATACCCAAATCGGGCAGCCACACAGTCAAAGGCCTTTCGACCGCCAATCACAATAGAAATGTATGCAAAGAAATTTGTATTAATTCGTAATCGGGCGAAGACTGCGATAGCGACAGCGCCGCGAGGGCTGACGATAAAGTACCTGCCAAAGCCAAAGCCGAAGCCGAAGCCAACGCCAACGCCAGCGCTGGCGTCGAAAGCCCGACTTTGCCGTCGGCGACTTCGAGTGCGACATCGTGTTTTGCTCTCTCTCTCTCGCTGGGCTTCGTTTTCACTGGGCCCAACGCATTGCTCTCGCGTTGAGTGGGTGATTCTTAAATGGAAATCACATTCAGAACCCAATTAAAGCCCTCTAGAAAACAACTCGATTTATTTCTATTTCGGATTATTCGCATCAAAGCAAGAATCCGACTTCATTTCAAGCGAGAGAACGGGCGGAGAGCAAAATAGAGCGCAATGCTCGATTTTGCGGAACAGGCAGCGACGCCAGCGATGACAGCGACGCCAGCAACGCCAGCGATGACAGCGACGCCAGCATGCTACTGGGGTATGGGACTGGGTATTTGGCTTTAATATTTCAATACTTTCTCGGCCGCGGACAGCGAAACAACAGAAGTTTTGTCTTGTTTTGAGTCGGTTGCCTTGGCGATATATCAATATATCTCCCACATTCCTACCAAGTTAGTCGTGCTCCGCTAGTCGTTGTTGACGGTTTTGTGTCTCCCTCGGTCCCGGTCCCGGTCCCGAATACGCTACTCCTCCGCTGCGCGGCCCAAAAAGGCCCCAAGTCCGAATAGGGCAGTGTTTGACAGGACTCGGATGCAGCCTGCAACAAAGTGATAAGAGCCCATCCCATGAGTGGAGTGTGTGTCGACTTTCCCCACAACAATCGCCCACATAATTGTTACAACGTTCTCGACGCGCGGTTCCCCAGTGCACCCACGGGCCCCAGAGGAGCGCCAGACGGATAATTTCGGCCAATTTTGGCCATCCGCTGTCCGCCATCCGCTGACCGCTGATCGCTGTCCTGTGCTCCGCATCAAGGTAAATCCTCGGCACCTCCTACGTCACACCAAGAAAACAACAACAGGCGATGTGGAATGGGCGGAATGGATCACAGAATGGATTAAGATCAAAAAGTGTTTATGGTGGTCCCCGGGATAGCTGCCCGGAGGCGCCGCCAGTCGGAGTTGTTCCCTTTTTCGGGCTCCATCGGTTTATTCCACTCCATAATCGTATGCGCAACAAATTGACTCAACTTTCGCAATTTACATCGAATTAATTATGAATTAATTATCGCCAAATACGAGCATTCACGGTTTCTCTCCGTGGAAGTGATTGAACCTTTTGCTGGAATGCTAATTCACGATGCCGGGGATGGGGAAGGGGAGGGGTTAGGGGAAGGGGCATACAAATTAATATGTGGCTGCTGCTGGGACTAAAAGCCCAATAACTCAGGTATAATTTCATCTGGCATTTGGCGATGACCCGTCGTTACACGGTGCATGCTCCCGCGGACACAGCTGCTTGGCAAAATGTCAGAGTGTGTGTTGCTGTTTTGGTATTGCCAAACAACTGCAGTCGGCAGCCACAAACGGTTTCCCCATCCCGCCCCGCCCCGCCCCAAGCGAAGGGTTGCCGTTGCCTCACCCGCCCATCCCATCGACTTGTGGCCTCCACGAAATTGAAGACGCAAGAATTGACCAAAAAATAAAAATCAATAGCAAATAGCAAATAGAAGGGGGAAATGGGAAATGGGAGAGGCCAGCCTCAAACTCCTCCACGCACGTGACACCTTCTGCCTGGCGCGAATTGATGAGGTGGATCATCACCCCACCTGGGGTATACCCTCTCCCGACGGTGACTGACATAATAGCTGATACAAAAGCAACAAAAAAGCCGAGACACAAGAAACAAGAACCGTGCCACACGCCACGCGCCTTTTCGGCGTCATTCATGGCGTGGTGGGCGCGTATTCCCTCCCCCCACCGGCATTGCCTCACTTTTTTGCATGGCCTCTTGGTCTTTGGTTTTGTTTTTGTTTTTCTGTTTTTTACTTTACTTTTTGGACTGGTGGCACTGCGACCCTTTGGGGGTGCGTCGAGTGAGTCACGCGAGTCGGGGCCCCGCAGGGTTTTCCTCTCATAGTCGCGTTTTTCATTCAAGAATCCGCCTCGAGTCTCTGCGCAAGAGCAGGCCGAGGCACTCGGACGCCGAAGAGAAACCGTAGCAATAGAGCAACGGGTCGGAATGGAATGGAATGGAATGGCATGGCATGGCATGGAGAGTCCAAAGAGTCGGCATCACGTGATGGTGTACGGGGGTGAAAGGGTGCACGGGGTTGCACGGGGCTGTACGGGTGTACGGGTGTACGAGTGTACGGGTTCGAGTGTGACAACGTGGCGCCGGCTAAGCGGCGTGTTGCTGTCTGTGCCGCGAATGGGTATGGGCACTGTTTTGGGGCTGGAACTGGGACTGGTGCTGGGACTGGTGCTGGTGTCGTTTTGGGGTGTCGCCTTACATGCTCATGTGTGCATTGTTGCTTCATGGGTTTGGCTTTTGTGTGGGCTTACATGGGGCTAACGACAGCGGCAGCAACAACGAAATCAGGTCAATGAAATAGCAATATTTGGCACGGCTTAAAGTCGCTGGCTGGCATCGTTTTCAGCGCTCAGAGCCCTCTTCTAAATGAAGGTGAGCTTACGATTACCTGGCTGCAATGGGTGGGCTATAACCGAGCCCATACCCCATACCCCATGCCCCATGCCCCTCGACGCTGTTAAATCAGGCGAAGGCGAAACAAAGCCATTGCCAGACCTCCTCCTCCTCCTCCACCGCCCACTCGGTGGTTCGTGCCAGTTTTCTGCCCCGTCTTCTTCCATTTGTTGTATTGTTGTATCTCTGTTGACAGCATTTTCCGTTGGCTGTTGGCCGATGTCTGTGTGGATGTCTTCTTCTTTTTGTTGCCTTGTTTTGACTTTGGGTTAGTTTAAATTTGGCTTTTCGGTGGCAGTGGCTTAATTTGCTTTCTTGTTGTCGTCGTCGTCGTCGTCGTTGTTGTTGTTGTTTGGCAAAGGTGTTTGCACTTCTGTTTGCTTTTCCCGCTGCTGCCTTGGGCCGCCAGCCGCCAGCCGCCAAGCCCATCAAATGGGCAAACATTTGTAGTTTCTGTTTGCTCTCTGGCCATTGAGTAGTTTCAGGCCCGAGTGGACGGGGGGCAGGATGATCAGCGTTAGAATCGATTCCCACTGGAGTCCGTCTCCTCAACGGATAGCACTTCCCGGCTTCCATAAGGAAGGACGCACTGTCCTGGCCTGCTCTGTGGAACGGAGCTGCTGCTGTCTCTGATCTGGGACCCACGGCCCGTGGCCTGTCGCTTTCATTAATTATACATTTATGCGGCCTATCCGGCCTCCGAGGAGGCCCCGAGAATGACCCTTGTAGTGCCATTAGCCGATGCCCTTTCACAGTGCTCTCCGCTCACTCAATTATCGCCTCCCCCTTGCCCCGTTCAGCTCAAAGATGCCATTGAGCTCTATTATTAAACATTTACGGTACGCCACTTGTCTGACGTTTCACGCGGCGTATGAGTAATGCCCCATGGGACGGAATGGGAGACGGGCAGAGAGCGGGAGAGAGAACAATGGATTGAAAATAAATACTCGTACACCCAAGAGCATCTCTATACTCCCAATAGATGCCATTCCCCTTCGGCTGGCAGCCAAATAAGCCAAAGGCAGGGTCTCTATAAGGAGCTGTCCCCTTTCTGGAGACTGCGAGAGAAGGGGCAGAGAGAGGAGACATTCGGGAGTGCTGCACTTTGGACCGTGGAGCGTATTAGCCGAGCGCTAAGTGCCCGCTTAGCTGTCCTTGAACTTTCTGGCTGGCACATTTCGCCACTCCGCCCACTGCGCCCACAGTGCTGCGTCCCAGTATACAGTCGCCCTATTTGGGCAATTATCGATCTGCGATACGAGTATCGGCGATAAGGGGCTCAAAGTCTGCGGTGAGACGGTGAGTCGGTGTATCGCAAAAACAAATGGCAAGACAAAAGACAAAAGACGAGCCGAATCGAGAACGACCGACTGCAAACAAGATGTAAATGTGCCGATCAAATGCTGACGGAGCAGCTTTTGCTGTTGGTTTATTAACCTCATTCCCAATCCCATTTCCATTCTCACTCCCATTCCCAATCCGCTGCCGTCTCTCGGCCCAGAGCCCAGCTCTACGGCTCGCACGAATGATATTCATGAATATTGAAATACAGATATTTGTGCCAAATACTCTGTGTGCCGAAAGTGGGCTGATATGAAGTTCGAATTGGTATCGATGTTGGTATTGTGTGCTATTGAAACTAAAAATAAACAGTCCGACTGTCAGACAGACGGCCAGACCGAGGGGCAGTGCCACATCACGTGACGGCAACGGGGAATGTTTTTATTTATAACAAATTGTTAATCTTTCGCCCCTCGTTGCAGCTCGACACCCCGAATGCTCTGAATCCACGAACCAGACCAGACCGGACCAGCCCTGATCACACATCCTCGCAGACCAGGAGACTCCGAACCACCAAGAAAAGGATACAATCAGCCACAAGCACCAGCAAAATTGCAGTAGAATAGGCAGAAGCAGAAGCAGAAGCGGCAACCACTACACAGTAACACAATGGCCTTAATTATGAAATACATCGACACCGTAACCAGGTACCTGGACTCACATGGTGGTAAGTGGGGGGACGGAAGACGGGGGCCTTTGCTAATTTGCCTAACCTTGATTTTGGGGGAGCTTTGACCAACAATCAACAGCAGCAACAACAGCAACAACAACAGCAACAACAGCAACTGGTACTCTCGCACAGTTCTCTGCAAAACCGGCAAAAGGTTTGGCAAAAGATTAAATAATTTTTGACACCTGCTCTCTAATTAACCAGAGACCGGGGGCCAGTACAAACTTACAAATGTACATACAATACATATGTATATATATTTGAAGAGAGGCAGATAGAGGCAATGTGGACATACTCGTAATATATCTGTAGTCCGGAGAACAGGGAAGGGGAAGTTCCATGTCCCAATGCCTGCTCCAATGTAGTATTTCTACTTGATAACATGCTATGTATTCCCATTGGCCCACTGTACATAGACAAAGCCATGTACACATACATATACAGTGTATCTATGCCTATGCCCATGCAGTTCCTATCGCGATATTCGATATCTCGCGCCGAAATAGAGGAGGGCCATTAAACGGCCAAGTGAAATCGATTTATGGGCCACGAAATTTCACAGAGAGTCGGTGGGCTCCAATTCCCTTTGGACTAAATATAATATTACGCCTTGGCGGATGGATCAATCGATAAGCAAGAATCCAAAAACAGAACCTACTTTCGCTTCCCTGTGGGGAAATATTTCTGAAGTGAGATGAAATCAGAAGAAACATTTCAATATCGCTCTGTGGGCGATTACAATGATTATTAATTGATGATAATTTCCGGAGAAATATTTGCATAAACAAATTGCCCAACTAATTTCCTACGAACTAAATCGAAAATTATGGCATTTAGCGGCGATTCGAATGTGAAATTCGGCCATAGACCCTGCAGATACTCGGACCCAGGCACAGATACAGATACGCCAATGGTCTGAGTTGGACCGCAATTAAAAGTGTTAAGAGCGTGCACGTGTGTGTCCAGCTCTTCATTATCGCCCTGCCTCCCCTCCGATGTACGCACGAAGATCGCCGTGCCGTCTGGGCATGGCCAATGCCAATGGCCAGGCGGCGACACGAAACGGCCCGGAGTGGATCAGGGCCAATGCCGGCGATGTGGCTGCGAATGATAAGAGCACGGCGAGGGCTTATCTAACAGATGCCTGTAACTGCTGTTTTTCTGCTCTGCTGCTTTGCTGCTCTGCTGCTTTGGTGTTGTGCAAGAGGCAGGGGCCCATGCCAGAGGACTACTAATTCGATTTGCTTCCCTCTTCGTCTCCGCGCGCAGACTCAAGGACAAAGGACTGGCCCATGATGTCATCCCCGTTTCCCACACTGGCTGTGTGCCTCACATACGTCTACCTGGTCAAGGTGAGTTCCGGAGTCTATTGGCGGTGCGATTCCCGACTGCCACCTCAACAGGTGTCCACTCGAGGCCACTCGAGTCCGTCCGCCAATCGAGCTAATCGCTAATCGCGGACTAAGCTAATCGGCGGCGGTAGTCTCAAGTGCTAGTTCCACCTGGCCGCGTGGGAGTGTCAGCGATAAGCGAGCAAGTGGGATCAGAGCACGGCTGGGACTGCCATGAGTCAGGGCGAATCGAATCCCGAGCCAGCCATACCCGGCGATTGTATTAATCGATGTTTCCATACGGAACTCTCTCGTTCGCAGGTGCTGGGACCGCGGTTAATGGAAAATCGAAAGCCCCTGCATCTCCAGAACACACTAGTCCTCTACAATGCCATACAGGTTGTTTTCAGCGCGTGGCTGTTCTACGAGGTAGGTACTCGACCACCCATCACCCACACCCCATAACATTCCCAATAGCCTCATGCCACATTCTCATCGTCATCGTCGTCGTCGTTGTCGTCGCTGTCGCACCGTAAACTGGAGCCTGGAGCCCGGAGCCTGGAGCCTGGAACTGGAGGAAAACCTATGAAGCGGATAAATGGAGAAACGGAAAAATGCTTGGCGCTTGACTTGATTTGATTTGATCCTGATTTGGCTTACTTTATGACATTTTCTGTTCTGTTCTGTTTCCTTTCCTTTCTTTTGCAAATGATTTCTTTGTTCTAGTGCTTAATGGGCGGCTGGTGGGGCGCGTACAGCTTCCGCTGCCAGCCGGTGGACTACACAGATAGTGCCACATCCCGGAGAGTAAGTGTCCCGAAAGCCAATCCCCCTTCTAGCGTATAAGTGTGTGCAGTCTCCCACGATCCAGTATCTCAGAAACTGGGCGTAGGCGTAGGCGTAGGCATAGGCCCCCATTCAGAGCCATCTCTAGTCCGAGGAGGGCCAAGCCCTGCCCCCATCCCCCCACCGATTCGATTCGTGCAGTTATCCGCATACAGTGCAATAGATCTGCGCATTAAAAGACATTCCAGCGTATGCATTGCTTTGATTAAACCACATTTTGGTGGCCGGTGGCCGGTGAGCGGCGAGCGATTGAGCCAACGCTTCTTGGAGTTTTAACCAGCAATGCAAAGCCGTGCAATGCAACGCAATGCTTCGCCTCGTTGTTTTTACACCCCTTTACCCCCAATCATTATTGCTACTAAGTATGTATATCCATTATCCATGGCACAATTAACTCTCGGCCGCACACGGCTGCTCCTGCGACTCCTGCCACTCCGCGCTGCGGCAGGTGTGTGTGCGCGCCGGCTTTGACTAATCCCAAACGAGTGTTCGTTCTAACGTACGGGTATCGATCCAGCAGATCCAGCAGGTCCTGCAGATCCTGCCGATGGGACACCCGGCTGGCTGTCCAGCAACAAAATGAAAAATGCTTTGTTTTGTATATAAACGCTAGCCACATACCGAAATACTCTACCAATGGTGATTAATTTCGCTTCGATTAATCATAGTTGCGCTTTTCTTTTGCTTAAGTAGATATACTATCTAAGTCTTTACTTTTTACTCATACTAACACCCGCACCCGCCTTCGAACATGCACAAGTGTAAATACCAGAGTGAGTAATCAACAACAAACAACAACCAACGAAATCAACAACAAAAGCCAGAAGGCCAAGATACCAGAAGGCCAGAAAGCCAGAAGGCCAAAGAGCCAAAGGAAGGAAGCCAGCGACACGACCAAAACAACGACTGCGACTGCGTCCACGATCCACAATCCACGATCCTCGATCCTCGATCCACGCATCGCATCCCCTCTTCTTCCAACGAAAACCCAGAACGGATATAAACGTGTCATTTTGTGCTCTACATTTGCAGATAGGCATTTCCGGTTGGCTAACTGGACATTATAGCTTCCGATGTCAGCCAGTCGACTATAGTAATAATCCTAGAACGTTAAGGGTATGTGTTAACCTCACCACGAGCCGTAAGATAACGATTACGATAACAGTAGCGATTGCGACTGCGATTGCGATGCACCCAACACCCATAGACCGATAAGCATTCTAATTATTTTAATTTTCGCCTTGGTTTGTGTGCGTGAATACGTGGGAATACTCCTAGCATTACACATATGTAGATACACACCTAGCTATAGATATAGATATATATAGATGTAGATGTAGATACATGCGCGGACAAACACTGATAATACGGGACTTAATTTATGGAATAGCTGGTTGGGTTAATGGTTGGTTAACTCTATACTAAGTAAAAAAAAACTAATGCTAACATCGACCACACCACACTCAGATCCTAACCCCCTCCCCAGATTGTAGCATGTGTATGCCGTACATAACTGATAACTGTCAACGTGTTTCCACTGTCACTAAACCCAAGAGATCCAAGGCCCCCTTCAAGACTTCTGATCTGTCTGATCTACTCCGATCCAATAAAACTAACTCAAATTAATGAAACGAAACGATTGATTGAATGTATCCACCCGTAAACGGTTCGTTAGATACTTTCGAGCGGAAATACTTAATTTGTTTATGGAATCTCTTTCTCTCTCTCTCTCTCTCTCTCTCTCTCTCTCTCTCTCTCTCTCCCTATACTATTTTTCCGCCCTGAAGAGTCTGCATGAATGTTTGATTTGATTTGATTTGACATTGATCTTGATTTGAATATGATTTACGAGTAACGAGTAACAGTAACGAGTATTACCTAATGGAACGAGCTGTGAATGTGCTGCGAGTGAGATCCGTTGTCGGCTGGACCGACACGAGTGTACAGCTTATCCCTATCCCAAAGAACATTACTTTCCCTATCCTTGGCAACATATACGAGTAAAAGCCCGAGCCCGAAGTGAAACTGTAAGGTAATAAACATCCCATCCGTAATTCCATAATCCGTAAATTCCATTTCCTTTATGGAATGTTATTGGCGTTCAAGCTCCTCTTAAACCCCCCAATGGATGGGGATATGATTGATAGGGATAGGGATAGGAGATACTCAATCTCAGATAAATGAATGCCAGAAATAAACCACACAAATATACCTCATGGAAAGAGAAACATCGCTAATCGATATGTAACTTTCTTCCCCGCTGCCTGCTGCCTGCTGCCTCCTGTTCCCGTCTCATTTTGAATGATGGAATCATCAGATGGTCCATGCCTGCTGGTGGTACTACTTCTCGAAGTTCACAGAGTTCATGGATACGGTGAGTGACAGATCAAAGCTCGGGCGCCGCCTCGCGACGCTCCAAGAGCGATAATTGCATTCATGAATCAACGCATCGCGCTCTCGCTGTTTTGTTTTGTGTCGCCACAGATTTTCTTCGTGTTGCGCAAGAAGACCAGCCAGGTAACGACGCTGCACGTCATCCATCACGGCTGCATGCCCATGTCGGTCTGGTTCGGCGTGAAATTCACTCCAGGTGAGTGTTTGCGCTGCTCCAAAGGCTGGCCCACTGACTGATCCAATCCCATCCACCGTCCCACCAGGCGGCCACAGCACCTTCTTCGGACTGCTCAACACATTCGTGCACATCGTGATGTACACCTACTACATGTTCTCGGCCATGGGACCCCAGTACCAGAAGTACCTCTGGTGGAAGAAGTACCTGACCACCCTTCAGATGGTAAGATTGCCATCGGCCAGATTACCCTTAGGGAAATGCCTAACTCGCTGTCCCTCCATCTCTCTGCCACCCTCTTGCGCAGGTCCAGTTCATCCTGATCATGGTGCACGCCTTCCAGCTCCTGTTCATCGACTGCAACTACCCGAAGGCGTTCGTCTGGTGGATCGGCATGCACGCCGTCATGTTCTTCTTCCTGTTCAACGAGTTCTACAAGGCAGCCTACAGGAACCGTCTGATGGTGAGTCCGTCAGCCTCCGAGCAGACCCGGAAATGCTCCTTCCCCCCGACGACGCGCGCCGACACTTTCTCACATTAATGGCCCTAACGGGCCAGCGTTTATCATTGGCCAAGATCAGCCGAAGACAGCCACAAAACGGTGGTCCCACGCCGGGGTGGGGGCCTCGGCCTGGCCCCATTATTATCTATCGGAGATTTTTGGGCTCGTACTTCCCACGTTGCCCGAGGCGTCTTTCAAGACCGCAATTAAGGCAGCGTGTCGCAAGGGGACTCGGGGGCTCTCTGTGGCTCTGTGACGCCACCAGAAACACAGTGTTCCAGATTCCGGTCTGTGTTAATGAAAATGAAAACGAATACGAATACGAAAACGATCCCAAGAGTGGGGGCAAGAGCGCCGCTTATATCATCGCCAGCGCTGCACCTTGCGGACGTCTCTGTCCAGCGTCCGTCGTCCGCCGTCCGCTGTCCGCCGTCCGCCGTCCACCGTCCGCCTATTGCATATGCGCGAGATGCTGTGGTCCAAATTCATTAACGAGATTTCGTCAAGTGGGTCTTTGGGGCCTGGGATTCATTCGGGTGCCGCGTTGGGTTCACAGCTACAGCACAAGGCGAAGATAAGGTACAAAAGCGCCGAAACGAAGCCGTTTAACGATCGTTATAACGCCATCGTCAGCGGCGGCATCCGCTGTGCGTGGCACAAGTGAAAGTTGAACGGAGGAGCCACAGCAACGGGAAAGACACAAAACAACACAAAACAAACACAGACTCCGACTCCGACTCCGACTTCGACTCGGATGGGGCAGATCATTGCATAACGATGGCTGTGGTGTTGTGGGTCACGTCACTGGGTGGCCGGGGGCAGGGCGAGGGGACTGGGGGCATTCGCAGTCGGCATCGCATCGTTCCTTATACCTCTACCGTTTTTGACCATTTTGCAGAGAAAGAACGCGTTGCTGGCCAACGGACACGCCAAGCCGAACGGCTACTGCAAGAGCATCAATGCCCACGACGACCTGGCCATGCCCCAGCCGACGGCCGCGTCGGTGACACCGGTGTCGAAGGCCAACGGCAGCACGGCGCCCCTCACCAACGGGCATGCGAATGGCCTCAGCAACGGCTACAAGCAGCTGGCCAACGGCAATGCGCCGGCGTCGACGACGACGCATAACGGCAGCGCCCACAAGGGAGGGGCAGGGCCCAACGGCCTGCTGACGAACGGATACGCCACCAAGCTGCTGGACGACGCCTCCCAGGACTTGAAGCAGCGGAAGACGCAGAAATAATATCGGGGCAAAGCGGGGCGGCGCCAGCACAGAGCCTAGGACAGGATCAGCGCCGGGAGTGCCCCCCCGGAACGGGGGGAGCTCCACAAGTCATTACCACGTCACACGTCTCGTCACGTCACTTTCTCCCATTCTCATCCACACACTCAAACAGACACAGCACAGAGAAATACAAATACAAATACAAATACAAGTAATAAACACACCGAACACATTCTGGAGAAATGGCGAGAGAAACTCCCAAGAGTCTAACCGAAAGCTTAGACTATGGGCATGTTTTACTTCGTATCTCCGCTACAATACATACAATACATCCACCCCACCCCACCTCCCAAACACGGACATACAGTCATGCTGAGAGTATGCGCGCAGGCATACCTATTTATGCATCCCCATATCCAAATGTATAGGCTTTGCATAGGCGAATCATCTGAACAGAATCTGAAACAGAATCAGAACCAGAATCAGAATCAGATCGGAGTTCCACACATACAAACATCCAAGCATTCATACATACTTACATACATACGAGTATATATATTACACATACAATATTTTGTTGCTTCTTTTCTTTTAAAAAACTACTTTAGTTGTACAAAGCTTACAAATTAGAAGTACAGTACCATGAGAATTGTATAAAATGCGAAAATTCAAGAAACAAAAGAAAAAGGAAAATGAAAATGAAAACCAAACGGATGGCCAGCATAAACAATTTATAAACTAAATTAAAAGCTAACTCAAGTTTATTCAATTGAGCTTGTGTGTGAGCATGGAATTCAACTATTTAAGAATCTAGAATTTAACTTATATTATACAAACACACGTAAACACACACACACACACACACACTGATACACGGACACGTACACGTATAAATAATAATAATAATAATAATTAAAAAGAGAGTTTGCTGGCGTGGCAGTCAACGACGAGAAGTTTTGTAAATGTATAGATCAGAAAACAAGTGTAATTTAAAATTAGGCACAATAATTGTTACAAATAAAAGTCAAGCAAAATAGTCAACCACTATTTAAGTCAGGCAGAACCAGAACCAGAAACGGAAACGGAAATGGAAACCCCCCCACAATAACATACCGAGTATCGGGATCGGATTGGGCCAATTTGTAAAACGTTTCAAACTAAATTAAAAAATAAACGGAGTAATAACAAATTAAAAGTAAAAGAATGAACACAGGCTACCGGCTAACGACTACCCACATAATGTTCGATTAATTTATTATAAATAAATGGTGAAGCTGAACGAAAAGAGGAATCCAGATCGGAACATTCGAATTGGCATAGGTGTGGGATATATTGGATCGATTCCAACGGCAAAACAACAACACACCATCTAGGGTCTTTCGTGGAGACCTACCCTGCCCTACCCTCTCTCTCTCTGTCTGTCTGTCTGTTGTCATTTGCTGGAATCGAGACTTGGATTTAAGGGTTTAGGCGTTCAATACAGTTTTATTAACATTTATGTTTAATTTGGATGCGTTAGATTTTACATGTGTGCCTCCTCCCCGCTGTACGCTGCAGAAACGTATGCGAGGCCGAGGGCGGGGCGGGGTCTAATGTATTTAGAACTTAGAGCTAAACTTGCTGGCTACGAGCTAGGCGTGTGTTAAGCTGTCCATAAGTGATAGGCAGAAGTAGAAGTACAATTAGAATAGAGGCTAAAACATAGACAGTATCTAAGTGGTAGGCAATTGTACGATCGTACGATTCTACGTGACAAGTACAACATTTTCACGATCATCTTAATCTTTCAAATTGAAAGCAATATGTAAACTATACAGAGAAGTGCTAAATATGGCTGTTCAACGTTGATGGGCTGGGCGGGCCACTGTGTTGCAGGCCAGCGCGGGACGAGAAAGGAAGATGAGTACTTGCTCTGCAGCTGCTTCTGGGCTTCTGGTGGTGCCTCTGCTGCTTCTGCTGCTGGCGCATGGGTGTGTACAAGTGAGTAAAAACCACGCAGCCGACGATGGACACGCATGGGCACGGATTATAATTGTAGATTAGAGATTTTAAAAACACTTAGGGCTATGCGGCGACAGGGACTCAGTTGCGGCGCGCGCGACGTCGTGCGTTGCCCGCAAAGGCATTGGGCGCACCCGGATGCTGGCCGCTGTACAAATTGTCCAAGAACTCGTGCAGCGTGGCCTCGCTGGAAAAGAAGAGACCAGTTGCCAGTTAAATGCCTTGGATACGGATACGGCTATCGCCGCATTCTCCTTACCTAACGCCGCTGACTCCACCGCCTGGATGGTGCGCACCGCGGTCGTGGTGCGGGTGCGGGTGCTGTTGCTGCTGCTGCTGCTGTGGGTGGTGGTGTGGTTGCGGCTGCTGCGATGGCGGCTGCTGCTGGGCACCGCGAACTATGCGATACTGCACCATATGCGAATTGGGCTCCAAATGAGACAGGGCGCCCTTCTGGCAGTTGGCCCACTCGGTTATGTCGTACACCTTGCCATCCATCAGAGCCAAATATTTCCATCGCAGACCCATCATACTTGTCTCGGCCCAGATATCCCCCTGCCACGAAAAAAGACACACAATAACTACAAATACTTCCTACTCAGAATGAGGGATACTTACGTCCTTGGCAGAGTGACGTATCTTACAGGAGGCACATTCGCGCGCCGCGTAGTGAGGACGTTCGGTTAGTTTGCGAGGGTGGCGTTGGGCACAGGTGCTGCATCTGCAATTCATCGCAAGTGTTAGCTTTCGCTGCCTTTCGGCACATTGCGGTCACATACCTTATAGTGTTGGCTGCCTCAGCCATTTTGGATTGCAGCTGCGACAGCAGATCATGCAGCTCCGTCCAGGCCTTCTCGGCGTGCAGAGTCTCGGCGATGCTTTGGTCATAGAGGAGACGGTTCTCCTGCAAATAAGAAGTAAACGGATCAGCTTGCACTGCCATCGAGGTGGAATTTTGCGGATTAATGGGTCCACAGCAAACCGTACCGGTTCCCCGATCAACTCGAAGGCCCGCTGGAGCACCTTGAAAGCCTCCTCCGCGCCAGCCTGTTTGTTTTTGTCCGGGTGCACCAGCACCGCAATTTTCTTGTAATGCTTGCGGATCTGCTCCTGCGAGCTGTCTGGCGGCACTCCCAGTATGCTGCAACCAAGGAAAATGTGTTTTAAAGGCAAAGCTTGGGCATCGTTGATCATGGCGGCTCACCTGTATGCATCTTTTCCTTTACAATTAAGCAGCGAGTACATTGCTTCCTCGCCTGTCTGCGGCAGGCGTCCCGTCTTGAACGATTCTGAGGTGGGTTCCGGTGGTTTCCGCTTGTAGAATCGCCGCCAGAAGGCCCAGCGCGAGTTCTTGGCGAAACGGGCATCGAAGCGTCGCCAGTAGTTGCGCCACCAAATGCTCGGCTTGCCGGAGTTCTGCTTCAGTTCCTTGTGCAGCTGCCGCGCATATGCCAGCCCGGCCACATAGGCCAAAGCCAGCCTATCATAGGCCATGCTGAAGCCCAGCACGACAATGTCGTAGACCAGGTAGAACAGCCAGGTGAGCAATTTCAGAGTGTAAATCCACCAGGTGTGCAGAATCCGCTTCGCCAGCTCGTAGTTCCTGTTGCTGGACAAGCTGCTGGCGTGGGAGGGCGAGTTGGATGAGGAGGAGTAGGCGTTGTTGCTTCGATTGCGCTTCGAGGAGTACGAATAGCCAGAGCTGTTATTCGAGTTTACGTTCATGTTCGAGGAGGAATATCGCTTGGACGAAGAGGAACTAACATTGTTGTTGTTTGTGTTGTTGCTGTTGCCCGAATTTGGAATCGATGAGGCAGTGGAGTTCGACTGATTTGCATTTGCATTGGCGCTGGATTTGCCGCTGCTGCTGCTCGGCTTGCGGGACGAAAGGCCTGGATTGATGGCAGGATTCGTTGTCGAATTGCCGTTGCTTGTGTGGTTCTCTCTCTGGGCGCTGCCGTTGCCATTGCTGTTGCTGGCGGGAGTCGATGAGGTGCTTGTCTTTTGCTCGCTAGCCCTAACGTTGATCCTTGTCTGTAAGGGCCGCTTCTTCTCCTGGTTGGTGGCTTTATTCGTTTTGATCTGTGCGGCCTGCTGCGTTGCAGATTGCTGGGGCTGGGTCTGTGGCTGTGGCTGCGTCTGCTGTTGTTGTTGCTGTTGCTTTAGCTGTGCCGCGTGATTGGATTGTCCACGCTTCTTTCCACGACTGCCATGGGCATGACCAGCATTCGAGGCCAGAAGAAGCGGCGTGTCCTTTGCATCATGCAATGGAGAACGTTTCGCAGTCCGCATCTCCCGACCAGCGACGCCTTCCTCTTTACCCTGCCGTCGCTGCTGCTGCTGCGGACTTGCATAGTCCAATCCGTTGGCCGTGCGCGTCTCGCCTCCTGAGCCGCTCGACTGCGTGCCCTTGCTCAGGACATCCGAGTAGGACATGGGCATGGGCTTTACCTCGGCCACAATGCGCTTCTTGCCATCGGGCTGACCTGTCACCACAATAGTGGACTTACTGACGGTGGCAGTTGGCAAAGACTTGGCGGCCTTTGCGGCCACAGGCATTGGGCTTGCAGGCTTGCTCAATTGCTCCGGCACCTGCAGCGGGGGCTGCTGCGTCGCCTGCGATGGCTGCTCATGGTGTGCAGGCGGCGGTGACTCCTTCTGGTTGGTGGCGTTTTCATTGATCTCGTCCCCGAATTGTATGTAGCTGCCTCCAGTCAGATTTGGCGACCAGTTGTTCACCAGATTGTTGATGAGCAGATTTGCGCTACTTGGAGGGTGGAGGACTTGCGGAGGAGGGGGCGGAGGTGGTTGTGGATTGGGATGTGGATGTGGATGGGGCTTGGCCTGCTGAAGGTGGGCTTGGGGCTGAGGCTGTTGCTGGGGTTGTTGCTGTTGCTGGGGCTGTGACGGTTGAGGCTGTGATGCCCCAACCATATTCATCTCCGGCTTCGGCAGCAACGGACTTGCGGCGAAAAGTTCATAAAGAGGCGTCGGCTGGGGGGGTGTCGGTGGCGGGGCTTGGTGATGTGGATGCTGGTGGTTCAGTGATGCCATGTTGATATGCGTGAAGTGGGGAGCAGTGCCGTCGTTGACCGGGCTCTCGGGACAGTGATACACTTTGAGAAAATTCCCATGCCCCACGGGCAGCACCGAGTAGGTCTCGGGCTGTCCAGGCTGGCCCGAATAGGCCAGGTTGTACAGATATTCATTATACACATGGGGCTGCGGTGGCGGCTGCGGCTGTTGCTGCTGAAGATGCGGCGGAAACGGGCCACCCAAGTGCGGAGGCGGCGATGTCCACATCATGGGTCCGGGCGGAGCCTGACCATGTTGCTGATGAAGCATAAAGTTTTGATGATGCTGCTGGTGCTGCTGATGTTGCTGCTGCTGCTGTTGATGGGCCAAAAAATTCGCCATCTCTTCCGTGTGGGGCAGAACATGATAGGATGCAGGCTCCCCGCCCCCACCAATCTCATCGCCGCGGTCATCCTGACGTGTCGCCATATCCCGCGACGTAAACGCAGAAGCGTGCTCTCGAGCCTGTGTCTTTTTCACACACTGAGCTCTGCGCTCTCCTATTGGAATTTCATTCGTCTACGCGTGTCCTTCGCCTGACGAAACATTTACGGTCTACAGCATTTCCAGCGAGGGCCGAGCTGTGAGGCATTAAAACAATCAATAAGTATGCTGATCTGCTTTTTGCAACGTCTTTTTACGCGAAACTCACAAATAATGTCCAACGCGTGCGAGTGTGAGTGTATTTTTTATCGTCTTATTGCAAACGTCAAATATAAGAAGAAGAAGCTCATTGCGACCAAACTACTCCAAAACATCGAAAACAACGAGCATCGAGGTTTTTCCACCGCTAGCAGCCAGTCACAGGGTGCGTGCACCCGCAACAAAATTATTACCCATGAAATTATTCATGATTCATTTCGAATCGAATATTAAAAATGAGTTGATTCACTATTTTCAATTGAAATATATATTTTTTAAATGTAATCTAGCAGTTCCCGGCACGTTGTCAATTTCCAAAGTATCGATAAAATACATCGATGAGTTTTCATCGGCTGGAAACTGTAAATGCAACCCTAATTTGGTCAATTTAAAATATGAAAATAAATAATGTTTTTTGTTAAACAAATGAAATTAACATGTGTGTGAGACGACCGCTCGTGACTGTGGTGCGCGCTGGACGACATAGCTATGCCAGCGGACTGAAGTTGCAACAGCTGCTGGCGAAGTCCACACAAAACTTGGGCGAGTTCGCTGAATTTCGCAATTACATCGTTCTCCAGGAACACGATCCTGTATACACCATAGGAATTCGGAGCAAGAGTTATACGAAAGACGATGAGGATCGGCTCCGAAAATTGGGAGCAGAATTCCATCGCACGGATCGTGGTGGTTTGATTACGTTTCATGGGCCTGGTCAGCTGGTTGCCTACCCCATTCTCCACTTGCGGCAATTCAAGCCGAGTATCCGCTGGTATGTGGCCGCCCTGGAGCGCACGGTAATAGAGACATGCCGACAGCTGGGTATTCCAGATGCTACGACCACACAGGACACAGGCATTTGGGTGGGTGACCACAAGATCTGTGCCATTGGCGTGCACGGCTCTCGTTATGTCACCACACACGGAATTGGCTTGAATTGCTGCACTGATCTGAAGTGGTTTGAGCACATCATCCCATGTGGAATCGAGGGCAAAGGTGTAACCTCCCTCACCAAAGAGCTGGGCAGGCACATTGGCATCCCGGAGGCCAGTACTGCCTTTCTCAGCAGTTTTGCCAGCATTTTCGACTGTCGTGTAGCAGAGCAGGCCGATGCGGTGGCACGAGACACAAATTAGCTTATCGTTTTTTCGTTTTGATTGTGATTTCTCTAGGATACAAATGTTAAAGAATACAAATCCTATACAAGATTTATTGCTATTGTGTCTAGACGAAACGGGCTTTGTTCAAGTCACATTTCTTCGCGCGCCCGTCAGTGGGAATCTTCCCCCGACTTTCCATTTCCAGGCGACCGAGCTCACGTAGTTCTGCCTTGCGCATTCGCCGATCCTTGCGAGACTCCAGCGCATTGTTGAAGTAGCGATCTCTAAAGTCCTCCGAGGGCGTAGGTACATGTGTTATTCTGGGCTCTGAAGCTTCTGCGTGGCTGTACTCCGAACTCTTCTCATAGGTGAGCAGGCGGCGGGACGTGTTGCCAGTCAAGGGCTGTTCGGAGTTGGCCACCAGCCGCAAATGCTTGTGATGTGGCAGCATTGCCTCATCGTAGTCCTCTCTGAGTGGGGTGGGTGAATTTTTTAATTTGTCGAATCTATTAAATGGATGGGTTCTCACCGATGGAAGGGTAGCCAGCAAACGAGGCGTCCTCCTAGTTTCAAGTGCTTCGCAGAAAACTCGAGCAGATCGCAGTACAAGCTCTGCAGGGAATAGTGCGAAGTGGACGGATAGTGCACCATGTCCTCACTTCGTGTGTCCTCTTTGGCACTCTTTTTGGTCTCCACCTTTTCTGTGGCCTCGCGTATTCCGTATGGAGCTAAAAATTCAAATTTCGGTTTAGAATCCACTGGAGCACACTTTGCGCCGCAATACTGCTCCACCTACGATCGGTTATGATGCTATCGAATAAAAGGCGAGGGTGCCAGAGAGGATTCGAGAAGTCGGCTACCAACACATCCATGTAGCGATCCGCACACCCATACTGCTTCAGATTCGCCCTGATGCTCTCATCCCTTTCCCGAACCCTTTGGGATATACGGCTGGGCCGGCATTGCGCATGCACCATCATATAATCAATGTCGGCTCCCAAGACATACCCACCGAACTTGGCTGCGCTTACCAGCAATGAGCCCGTCCCGACGAATGGATCAAACACCAAGTCGCCCTCACGCACCATCGCTTGGTTGGCCATGAGCAAACTCAGCTGAGCATCCATACTGGTGTTTCCGATGAATTTTCGCTTCTTCAAAGAGAGATCTTTGATCAAATGCCGCTGACCCTGAGCCAGAAGCCGTCCGAAAAGAATGTCGTCGGGCACAGGAGGCACTTCTTTTGGATCCAAGCCCCAGAATTCTATGTACCACCACTCCACCTGAGGGTTCTTCAGATCGACAGTGCCTTCAATGGGTAAGTAGTCCATCGTCTCAATCTTCTCAACTTTTTCCCGCTGACTAAAATGCTTGTTGTAGGTCTCGACAGTGATTTTAAAGCTAACATCGGAGCTGAAGAGGCGCGCGATCTCTTTGTGGTGCGTATCCACGTGAGAGCGAAGTCTATTGTGAAACTCTGGCAGGGTATTGGAGTGGGAATAGAGCTCGAATATGGCACGCAAGGCAATGGAGCGGGATGCATACTGCAAAGCAGTCTTTTCATTGGGAAACTCCACCAGCCAGAAGGGTTTCTGCAAAATACAAGTTAATCAAAGTTAAATTAACTGACAAGTGACTTACCAACAGCTGTTCGGACACTCGTCGAAACTGAAAGCCAAACATCTTAGCAAGTGATTCGAACTCTGATATTCTGAAGTCGACATGCTCCTGTGCGAACCATAGTATATATTTCTTCCACATTTTGATTGTTTAACTCGTAGTTTTCGTGCATTTGCGAATTGTTCCCGCGTGTTGTTGTTTACATCTGGCAGGCCGTGTTCAAATCGCCAATAGCTATCGGCAGCTATTGATAACATCAATGTAGTCCAGCCCTGGCTAGTGTTGCCATTTTAGCTTATTTTAAGTAGATTTACTTGAAATCTAGCTTATTTCCAATTTCATTCACTTTTTTGGCTTAAAAAAAATTGTATTGTAATATTTGTCAATTTTTATCGAGAAATCGGACAAAAATCAAACCATATCATCCAATTTTGTGTGTAAATGTATAGTAATTTTTCGTTGATAAATTTTAGTCACACTACAGTATTGCACATGTTTGCAAAATTCATACAAAGTCCGAAAGTGTTTTATACAAAAAATTTCCACAATTTGTGGTTGAATTTCGATGAATTTAAGGGGGGTCTACGCAATGTGCCAACTGACCCCACAAAAGTTTACTTCTGCTTTTGAACGGCAACAATTGGGGCCAAGTCATGCGAATTACGCCAGCAAAAGGCTGCAGTTTGTTTGTACACGGCCATAGCATGATGAAGTGGAAAAAGCATGCCATTAATTTAATTAAACATTCAAAAATATATATCAATAAACTTCAATAATCCATTACTTATTTTTAAGCTTTTTTTCAATTGTAGCTTATTCTAGCCTATTTTTTCTTCAATCTGGCAGCACTGGAACTGACAGCCGTAAACTCGGCCATTTTGTGTTAACCTCGAAGGCCACACGTAGGCGCGCCGAAAATTTGTACAATTTTCAGCTCTTCGGGCCCGGTAAACATTAACAAAAGCAACTGCCAGTGTCGGTGCGTAAACATTTAATTGAGCAAACATGGCGCGTTATACCCAACGTCCGGAAAATGCTCTTAAAAGAGCTAATGGTAAGTGCAGAAAATTTTCCATGCGGTGGCCGACGACAAATGTCAGACGGCTACTCTCTCTCTCTCTATTACTTGCCATTCACATTTTAACGTTTCTCGTTCTCTCTCTCTGTGTGTCTCCTCAGAATTTATTGAGGTGGGCAAGCCTTTAAGGGCCCTGGATACCCTTCAGGAAGTGTTCCGCAACAAGAGGTGGAACTATGCCTACTCGGAGACGGTCATTGAGCCGCTCATGTTCAAGTACCTGTACTTGTGCGTGGAGCTCAAGAAGTCGCACATTGCCAAGGAGGGTCTCTTCCAGTACCGCAACATGTTTCAGCTGGTCAACGTAAACTCGCTGGAGAATGTTATCCGCGGCTACTTGAAAATGGCCGAGGAGCACACTGAGGCCGCCCAGGCGCAGTCCTCCGCGGCTGTGGCTGTGCTGGAGCTGGACGACTTGGACAACATCGCCACTCCCGAGAGCATCCTGATGAGCGCAGTGTGTGGTGAAGATGCCCAGGACCGGTCCGACCGCACCATTCTCTTGCCCTGGGTGAAGTTCCTCTGGGAGTCGTATTGCCAGTGCCTGGAGTTGCTTCGTGTGAACACCCACTGCGAGGCGCTGTACCATGACATCGCTCGCATGGCCTTCCAGTTCTGTTTGAAATACAATCGCAAGAGCGAGTTCCGTCGTCTGTGCGACAAGCTGCGCAAGCATCTTGAGGACATCTGCAAGAGCAGCAATCAGACCACTGGCGTCTCGATCAACAAGGTGGAGACGCAGCAGCTGTGCCTGGACACCAGGCTGTATCTGCTCGACTCGGCCATCCAGATGGAGCTGTGGCAGGAGGCCTACAAGGCCATCGAGGACATCCACGGCCTGATGGCCCTCTCCAAGAAGACGCCCGTGCCCAAAACGATGGCGAACTATTACCAGAAGCTTGCCATGGTCTTCAGCAAGGCAGGCAATCAGCTTTTCCATGCCGCCGCCCTGCTCAAGCTCTTCCAGCTGACGCGCGAGCTGAAGAAGAATCTGACCAAGGACGACCTGCAGCGCATGGCTGCACATGTTCTCCTGGCCACCCTTTCGATTCCTCTGCCGTCGGCCCATCCGGAATTCGACAGGTTCATTGAGGCGGACAAGAGCCCTCTCGAGAAGGCCCAGAAGCTGGCCGTCCTTCTTGGCCTGCCCCAGCCGCCCACTCGTGTTTCTCTCATCCGGGAGGTGGTGAGTAGCAATCGTAGAAGCTCCGCTGAAGGATTTTCGAGTGTTAATCGAGTATTAATCCCCTCTAGGTGCGGTTGAATGTGCCGCAACTCGTCTCCGAGGATTTCCGGAACTTGTACAACTGGTTGGAGGTGGACTTCAACCCCCTGAATCTCTGCAAGAGGATTCAGTCCATTGTGGACATCATCGAGACGGGCCCCACGGAGACCAACCTGCTCAGCCCCTACATTCAGTCGCTGAAGGACGTCACCATCATGCGCCTGATTCGACAGATCTCGCAGGTGTACGAGAGCATCGAGTTCAAGCGCCTGCTGGAGCTGGCTACCTTCTGCAACATCTTCGAGCTGGAAAAGCTGCTGGTCGAGTCGGTGCGCCACAACGACATGCAGATACGCATCGATCATCAAAAGAACAGCATCTACTTTGGCACCGACCTCACCGAGAGTCAGCGCGAGTACCGCCCGGATGGACCGGCCCTGCAGTCGATGCCGTCCGAGCAGATTCGCTCCCAGCTGGTGAACATGTCCACCGTGCTGACCCGAGCCGTGTCCATTGTCTATCCGAATAGGGAGCGCGATCAGCGGGCCAAGCTGCGCACCCAAATGGTGCACCACTACCATGAGATCAAGGATCGCGAACACCAGCGCATTCTGCAGAGACAGAAGATCATCGAGGATCGCAAAGAGTACATCGAGAAGCAGAACAACGCGCGCGAGGAGGAGGAGGCTCGCCGCCAGGAAGAGGAGTCTCGCAAGGCCAAGCTGGCCGAGCAGAAACGCCTGGAGCTGGAGCAGGAGGAGCGCGAGCGCAAGCGCCACCAGAATGAAATTCAGGCCATCAAAGAGAAGAGCCTCAAGGAAAAGGTGCAGCAGATATCGCAGACCGCCCACGGCAAGAAAATGCTCTCCAAGCTGGACGAGGAGGGCATCAAGAAGCTCGACGCCGAGCAGATCGCCAAGCGCGAGAGCGAGGAGCTTCAGCGCGAGGCCAAGGAGCTGCAGTCGAAGCTCAAGTCGCAGGAGAAGAAGATCGACTACTATGAGCGCGCCAAGCGCCTGGAGGAGATCCCTCTGTTCGAGAAGTATCTGGCCGAGAAGCAGGTCAAGGACAAGGAGTTCTGGGAAGCCACCGAGAAGACGCGCATCGAGAATGCCATTGCTGAGCGCAAGGATGCTGTCAGCCAGCAGGAGCGCCTCAAGCGCATGTATCCCGACCGAGATGAATTCCTTGAGGCTCTCAAGAAGGAGCGCGCCTCCCTCTACGTGGAGAAGCTCAAGAAGTTCGAGATCGCCTTGGAGGCGGAGCGGAAGAAGCGCCTGGCCGACCGCGTTATTCGTCGTCGGGAGGAGCGTCGTCAGGCCTTCCTGCGCGAAAAGGAAGAGGAACGCCTTCGCAAGGAGGAAGAGATCCGCCTGGCGCAGGCCGCAGAAGAACGTGCCGCTGCCGAGGCCCGTCGCCTCGAGCGCGAGGCTGAGGACGAGAAGCGTCGTGCCCAGTACGAGAAACAGCGCGCCAAGGAGGAGGAGGCCGAGCGTAAAATTAAGGAAGACCGCGACCGATTGGCTCGCGAGGTGGCCGTCGAGCGCGAGCGTAGTGATAAAGAGCGCGACACCTGGCGTCCACGTGGAGGCGACAGGCCCAGCGCAGCGGCAGCTGGAGGTGGCGGCGGAGCCGGAGAGTGGCGTCGTGCTGCGGCGCCAATTGGCGACCGGAACGAACGTGCCGGGGACCGCATCGAGCGTGGTGGAGAGCGCATGGAGCGTGGCGGGGATCGGATGGAACGTGGAGGAGATCGCATGGAGCGCGGCGGAGAGCGCACAGAGCGTGGAGGAGATCGCATGGATCGCGGTGGCGAACGCATGGACCGCGGTGGAGAACGCGGCGAGAGAGGTGCAGATCGCGATCGTGAGCGCAGGGACAACGAGGGCGCCGATTCCTCCTGGCGTGTGCGTCGCGAGCCAGATTCTCAGCGTGGTGCGGGAGTCAAGGATGCCAGCGGTAGTGCTGCCCCGCCATCTCGAGATGATAAGTGGCGACGAGGCGGAGACCGCGACCGCGATCGTGATCGCGACTTCCGCAACGATGGACCGCGCCGGGACAGAGACGACAGAGATGATCGCGACCGTGGTGGTTTCCGTCGCAACGATGGGCCACGCCGCAATGATGATGCTGCACCGCGCGAAACCGGTGGCAACTGGCGCGACGCTCCACGTCAGAGTGATCGTGACAATCGTCGCCCTGCTGGCGATAGACGCGACCGCGAGGTGCGTGGCGGCGATTTGCGCGGCCCAGAATCCCGCGCACCCAAGGAAGGTGGACCCAGCGGTGGTACTGGTACTGCTGCTGGTGGTGGTGGCAACTGGCGCACTGCACCCGGCCCACGTGATGAGCCCGCTCCCAAACGCGATCAGCCCCAGGACAAGGGTAAGTTTTCCCTCACCCCCGTCCAGCTTTGAATAGTTAATAATAATTTAATTCCCACAGAAAACAAGGCCGTAGACGATGGCGAATGGACTAGTGTGAAGCGTCGTTAAATTATCCTCGAGTTGAATCGGCTTATATATATATATATGTGTAGTTATCCCCCGCATTTTCGTCTATACAAACCATACTAACCCGAACATGTTTTTCTGATTTTATACTACTTGTACGTTGTCGGGTCGGAAGAAGCGCTATACAGCTCAATAATTAAACAAATGCTTGTGCCAGATGTTCGGATCGGAAATCTGCATCCTTAAAGTAAATTGAAAATAAAATAAATATGTTCCAACCTAACCAAGTGGAATTCCTCTCCTCATACGTCATCATGACCATTTTGCATTCACTGTAGGGTATTAAAAAACAAATTTGTGTTTAAATTCAATAAATAATTTTGGTATTATGAAACACCAAAATAGAATATGCCCATATGCGAACAAGTTAGGGTATAGAAACCTCCATACCCATGGATTAGTGTAACCAAAACATGACGGCTCTGACGTAGCGCTGGCCGTTGTATGTAGCCTTGGCAGGGTGAACGTTTACGGAATTTTTAATACTTTTCGGTATTTTTGAGGTCAAAATTTAACCGACGGTATATTTAAGGTATATCGGCATATAGTGGTATATTTTGTGAATTTCATCAATCTATTAAATTTAATTTTCAACGTTATATAGAAATCCAATAAAAGCAATTATTTAAAGCAAGCCAGTCAAGTAGAAAATAAATTCTCTAATCGGATAAAATTATGTGGGCATGGCTAAATTTTCTTAATAGCTGGTAATATTCCACGGAATATCAAAAACGAGGAATATGTAAAAAGAACTTCAATTCGTCTGTATATTTACGATATATTTTTAAAATGAGACGGTATATTTTGAAATATTTCTGTGGGACGGTATATTTTAACGATAAGTCCGCGGTCACACTGCTGTCGATAGTAGACGATAGGTTTTCGAAAAACATCGACAGTGCAATCGATAGTTCTCCACCTCTAGTTCAAATCGAGACATTGTTGTTGGTTAATTCGCCGTTCTTGTGACCTTTTTTGCTAAAACCCTTTTTTAAACAAAATCCAATAAATGCAATTATTCTAATTATGCAAATCAAGTAGGAAATTGATTCACCTATCGTATAAAATTAAGTGGGCATGGCTAAATATTCTATATAGCTGGTAATATTCCACGGAATATCAAAAACGAAGAATATGTAACATAGAACTTGAATTCGTCAGTATATTTACGGTATATTTTTGAAATGACACGGTATGTTTCGGTATATTTCATAAGGTCAGTCACTCAGTCACACTGAGGGGCCCGCGAACTAACAGAATAACATTGCCGCGCAGCCAGGTTCAGGTCCACGTGAACATATTTTGAGCAATGTGATTCATAAACTTATCAGATAAACCGAGCGTGAATTGAATTATAGTGGCGTTCGAATACTATAATCTGTGAATTTGAATGAAAGTGACAGTGAGACATAGCTGGAAATCGTTGCCGACGCTTTTTAAACCAATAACGTAGATTAAGGGACCTGTGCTTGTGTTGGTGCTGCGGACGCAGCGCTCAACATGTGAGGTTAAAGCAGACAGACAAACAGACGGCGGCAACAAGCTATAAAAAACAACAATTTATACAGGAGACATAGGATTAGGATTCAAGATCAACAGTGAATAGGTGCCGTGCGCAGGCTGAAATATCCCAAAGGTAATATATGGCAACTGAAAACCACCTGAAAGCTGATCAGGCGCTCCAGCCGCGGAGTGGGTGCTCTGGCGGGCCATAAAATTCGCAAGAATACTAATACGTACATATGTCGGTGAATCCATTTCGCGTACATTTATTTATTTCGAATGAAAACAGCTTTTTAAACAAAATGCGGCTGGTGTCTATGAAGGAAGGGGTGTGAGTGTGGTGTGCGGGTGTTCGGGAAATGTGATAGCAAATTGTAGCAAAAGTGTAGTCTTGAATTTGATTGTTGTGTTGAGGAGCATAAAAAGCACATGGCGTGGCGGCGGCGTTTACCCATACAAGCGTATGCGCGCGCACACACACCCACACGTGGTTCGTGGTCCCGCGACACATGTGCGGCGGCTTATCTTCTTCTTCCATCTGTCTCTCGTCTGTGTGTGTGCGTGCGCATGTGTTTTGTTTTTGTTGTTAGACCGTGATTTAAATTTAAGCCACAGTACGGGAACTCCTCTAGTAGCGCCGGCTCAGACGCTGTGAATCCTGTGGCCTCTCCATCAGATGCAACGTGCATCCACCCCATACCCCGGGATGCACGTGAGAGGGTGGGTAAAACTGCATGTTGCTTTCTCCTGTCAACGTGCCACGCTGCTTTTTGCTGTTCCGTTTTGGGCCGCGGTGCATTGCTGGCGTTGCCAACTTGTTGAGTCTTGCGCGCGCGAAATTTGAATTTGGAATAATCTAATGTCTTTGTACGTGTGTGTGTGTGCTCCTTGTCCAGTGTCGATCAGTTCATATGTTTTTTGGGATTATTGTCTATTATATGTTAGTGTGTAATGCTTAGCAATGAGATTCTTATGCTTTCTTGTTCAGCTTCTTTTTCTCACGCGGCTCGCGTCTCATCGACAGCGTGTCATGCTTTGAGTGCATTTTCTGGATAATCTGCTCACGGTTCAGGAGCAGCTCCTCCAGCTGCTGCAGCACTATCCCCTCAGTGCCCTCCGGGAGCTGTATGGACTGCTCGACAGTAACGCCTTGGTCTTTCAGATCGATGAGCTTTTGGGCCAACTGTTCGTCTGTGCCGGTGATGACGAAGTAGCCGGTTTGGCCAATGATCTCAATGGAGTCGTCTGGACGGATGGTAACAGATTTCTGGGCTTTCTCGGGCTTTTTCACACTATTTTCGGGGAGCTCGGGCTGCAACTGAGGCGAAATCTGTGCGGCATCAGCCTGCTGTACTGACTTCTCGAAGTCGAACTCGTTTTCAGTCCCGACGCTCGCCAAATAGTTTTCGACTGCTTCCAATGTCTGGGGAATCAGCTCCATTTCACTGGGTGTGAAGCTCAGCGAGGACAAGCTCGGCGACACTTCTCTCTGGCGCCTCCCATAGATCTCCGGCTGGGTCTCTTCGCCCTCAGCCGGCAAGATTCCCTGCCAACGACTCTTGATTTCCTCGCAGATCTTATTCAGCAATGGGATATTCACCGTCTTGTGCGAGTTTTTAGAGTTCATGGTGCTGACGCCCATATGTTTCTGTATTTTGTTCCATATCGAAAGCAGATGCTCCTTGGCACGCTTCTGATGCCCGGGGTGAATCTCGCGCCACATTTCACTTTCCGTGCTAGTGCCAGGGCCAACGGCAGCGGCAGGGGCAGAGGCTGAGGCTGAGCCAGCAGTCCGAGGCTTAGCCCCAGAAAGGGGCTTGGGCTCAAGGTTTAGTGCCTCGGGCATCTTCTTCGGAAGCCTTCCACTGGGCACTGGGTTCTTGCTGTAGATTATCGACTCCACCAGTTTGCTCGATTGTGTCCGCTTCTGTGTCAGTTTTGCTGTCTTGTTGATTGGAGCAGTCCCTGTTCTGCCACTTGTCGGTGGCTTTGGCGGTGATAGGGGCGTGGGTGCGGGGGGCTTACCTCCTGGTGTTATCTGCTGCTGCTTCTCCGGCGGCTTTGCCTGAACCCTTTTCACACCCTTCACAGCGGTCACTGGTTGTGGATTCTTGAGCGCCTCTTCTTCTGCTTGACGTGTGGCATCGGCTGCCTTCCGCTGGCGACGTGTTAACACCTTTTGTGGCATGTTTTCCCCTCTACGAATATATTTATTCAGAAAATGGCAATTTTTTCAATAATATTTTATGATTTTACTACTTGATTTCTTGTAATTCTGTTTCACTTCAAAAGCACATGCCAAATGAACAATTTCTCGTCGGTCGACAACCGGAAATGAAATAGGTCCCTGCCTCCTTCAAGTCATCTTGACATCTTGACTTAAAGTGTCAAAAGGCACTTTCGATTACTCGCTATCGATACTCGATACATATCTTTTCAAAGGCTACTTGAAGAAGCAGACGATGTTTCCCCGGAAGAGGTATTGTTTTTTCATTAAACAGAAGGAGGCATCTCCGAATCTCCATTTGGTAATTGTTAATAAGTACTCAGGTCCGTGAGTGTGTGGCCTTTGCCTGGCTCAATGGCAAATGCTGATTGGTGGAAAGAAAGTCCCTGCGGTGTGAGAGATTGATTCCCCCACCATGGTTAGCTTCTGCGGATGCTTGATATTCCACTGTTTATCCCTCGCAGACGGATGTGGTATTTTCCTTTTGGCTATGTCTCGAATGCTACGATTATATCTAACAGAACCGAGTTTCTGCATCTCATCCGCTCTGCAGCAATCCCCTTGACACGAAATGGACTCCCGATTGCTGAATGTTTTCCATGAGGATCCCTTCGACGGAAACTTTGCAAAATATGAGACCGAGCCGAGCTTCTGGTCTCCCAACGACGAGTAAGTACTGAATACTGGAGCTGACAATATGTATGCTTATGCATCATTTGTTTTATTCTCGGTTTCAGCCTGCAGTTGACGGATACACTGAACGGAATACTGCCCATTGCACCCACAGACGCCCATTCCCTGCTGGGCCACGACGGCGACGAGGATGTGGAGTTGCAGAGCAGCAAGAACCTGGTAGGTGGTGGCCCGAGAACTTGAAACACTGAACTGCTCAGGAGGCTAAATGTGTGTATCCATCTGTTTGAATAGCTGATCTACAGCGATTTCGTGGAGCAGCAGCTGAACGACCAAGAGGCTAACGCACTCAATGCCCAGGTCTATCAGGCCTTCGCCGACAGCGAGGTGGAAGTGGCCTACGAGCAGCACGAGCGTCATTTGAGCGCCGCAGGCCAATATGGTGATCTAGCCGTTGCAGGTCTTGGAGGAAGTCACATAGAGGAGGATGAGGAGGAAGGGGAGGATGTGCAGAGTCAATGCAGCAACTCTACGTTCCGCACGCGCACAGATAGCTCCTCAATTGGCGACTACGAGTCGCACTCGAGCGACTACGACGACGATGACGAGGAACCAGTACCGGAACCGGAACTGGAACAAGAACGGAAACACAATACGAGTCTGCTCAGAGGCAATGTCGATGCATTGGATGAGTGCAGCGATCGCAAGAGTCGAACGCTGAGCACCAACACCATTGTCTCGGAGGCGGATGCCTTGGGGCTGAACATTGACGTTAATAACTTTGATCTGGCTGATTTTATCACTAAAGATGACTTTTCGGAGAACATAAGCGCGTGCCGCTTGGCAGAGTCGAAGCGGATCCAAGAAACAGCTTCACTTACTCACTCCAAAGTGTCATTAGAGCCACCATCTACTCCATCAGGTAGTGCTGGTGCTGCCACTGCTTCTGTTGTGCGAAAGCCTACAGCTGTACCCACGAAGCTGCGCGACTCTGACGACGACTCAGACTCGATCATCGATGTGGAAACTGTCGATGTGGTGGACGTGGATGAGACCTTGTGGGTCAAGGGCCAGCTGGCGCAAGCGGAGGCAGCTTCTCCCGAGGATCTGTGCTATGTGGACAATGTGAAGGCCGATCCATCCTGGTCTCCGAAAGGGTCTGCGAAGAAACCACTGTCTCTTGCTAAAGAGGTGAGTGCCAAGAGTTTTGACTCTCAGTTGAAATACCTAAATGCTCTCTCGCCCATTCCACATTTAGCCCAAGCTGGCGCCGATGGAAAACCAGGAAATCCAGGCTCGAGGAGCCACCGGCTCAGCCAAGCCGAAGGCCACAAACAACATTTGCCTGGTGCCCAACAAGAAGCAGTGCGACTTCCTCAAGCGTAAGGTGGCGGCAGGTGCCGCGTCCAAGTCGAATAAAGCGGCCTCGAAGAAAACTCAAGAGGGTAAGAAATCTGCAATCGGCAGCAAGCAGCAGCGGCCTGCCGCTAGCACTGGCTTGGGCCTGGGAGGGAAGAATCTGGCTCTTCTCAAGCATAATCGGGAAGCGGCAGCAGCAAGCGTGCCGCCAGTACCAGCAACGGCAACAGCAACACAAACAGCAACACCAACAGCAACACCAACAGCAACAGCAACAACAACACCAACAGCAACAGGTAATGTGGCATCGACACAGGCGCCCAAACGAAAACTTAATCTGGAGGAGTACAAGCAGCGTCGCGGTGCCGGCGGCACTGCCGTCGCCAAGACCGGCACGAAGGTCAAGCCCACGCCTCCCAAACAGCCCAAGTTGGAGCAACAAAGGCCGCCCCCAACTGGCGCAATGGGTGCTCTGGGCGCGCTGAAACCAATGCCAGTTACAACGCCTTCGAACCAGCAACAACAGAAGACCGTGGCTATAGCCCAGATCGTCAACAGTCTCAAGTGCCCACCCATTAAAGGGGGGCCAACAGCAGCAGCCCTGCCTATGGATCCCATTACTGTGGCCAAGAACAAGGTGCTGCGCATGCTGGAGATGAAGCGGGCCCAGCAACTGAAGATCATCGATTCGCGCGTGTCGGCAAAGGTTCCGCGCGTAACGAAGCTGCCGCCGCTCAAAGACATTGTGAAAGATACGTACCGCGTCGAATTGGAGGAGGACAACAACAGCGAGGCTCCAACAGCAACAACGACGACGCCCAGAATGAACACACTCCGCCCCGACTTGGACGCACTGATTATTGTTTCGGCCAGCTGTAACACGGACATAACGATACCACCGAACCAGCTGAGCAAGGCCTCGCCTCGCTCGCTGCTTAAGTCCTCGGTCCTCCTGTACAACATGTCCAACGGCAAGGACGCGAAAAAGAACATGAGCAACTCCCTCATAGCCAGCATACAGAGCGAGGTGGTGCGACAGACCAGCAGCACGGCCATGGCCACGTTGCTGCCGAAGAGCAATGCTGGCGGGGGCAAAGGAGCCAAGCCCCCGAGTGGGACTGAGACGAACGTGCCGCATGGCGAGGATATGGTGATCATGCACTTGCCGAAGAACCGCGAGCGCAAAACTCTTGTCAACATGTCTACCCAAACGGATCTGCAACCCGAATTTCCCCTCCTGGTGCTGCCCGCCACCACGCGGCAGTCACGCGAGCGCTCTAGGCGCAAATACCGCAAACGGCGAGTCCCAGGCTCGGATGAATCTAGTTCCTCGAGAGGTTCCTCTTCGGATAGCAGCAGCCTGGCTTCGTACAGATCCCGGTCACGTTCCCGTTCCCGCTCCCACTCAATAGAGCGGCTGCGCAGCTTGGATGCAACGGCCACATGCGGAGGCAGCAGTATTGGCAACGGGGGCTATTCCTCGCGCAGCACGCACCGTCACCGCAGCTCGGTTAGTTCGTCATCGTACTCGGAGGCGGGCAAATATGAGCGCCGACAGCGTCGCACCAGCTACAACAAGCGACGCTCGAAAAACCAGCAGCCAAACCGGGCCGGCTACTCCAGTTCGGGCTCCGAAATCAGCGATCGGGAGCGTAGTCGTAGTCGCAGTCCGCATCGCCCCTTGCGGCGTTCTCGTTCGCGCTCACAATCTGAGGCGCGCTTCGAAAACAACAACAACAACAATAGACGGGGATTTGTGGATCGGAACGTATCACAGCCGGCGGTGGAGGAGCGCCGCATTGTGTATGTGGGTCGCATTGAGCAGGAGACCACCAAAGAGCTGCTGCGCCGAAAGTTTCTGGCCTATGGCAACATTAAGCAGATAACAATACACTACAAGGAGAACGGGTAAGCAGTGGAGAGCAGAATACTCCAGCAAACAGAAGTGCAATTCTAATCGCATGTTTGTTACTGTTGCAGCATGAAGTACGGCTTTGTGACGTATGAGCGAGCGCAGGACGCATTCACGGCCATCGACACAAGCCCAAAGGATCCACAGATCAATATGTATGATATTAGCTTCGGCGGAAGACGCGCCTTCTGCCGTGCCTCGTATGCCGATTTAGGTGAGTGTCTCAAACGAGTCGCAGGCTAAGGTTAAAGGGCCTTTGAATAACATAACTCACCCTTCGCCTTTCGCAGACAATGCTGGCATCAACAACTACCACTCATATGTGTTTCCCAAGGAAGCACCGGCCCCAAAGCCGCAGGAGGACTCCTTTGAAGCTTTGTTGCTGAAAGTAAAGGCAAAGCTGAATGCTGGCAAGCCAGAAACACCAGCAACTGGACCATCAACTGCACCAGCAGCTGCACCGGCGCCAGATCACAGTCAGATTTGACATCTTTGCTCCAACAGACAGTTTTTCGTATTTTTACTTTACTTTTTACGTTTGTTTAGCCTGGAAGGTGAGCAGCCCTTCCTATCCTTACTATCTATATGCCACACGGCATGGCATGTGTCCGTAGACCAATTCCCAAAGTTTCCAACTCTGACCTGAACGCCTGATTATAATTTCTAATCATTTCAATATCGTACACTAGTTGACAGCAGAGCTATGCGTTGCAAGCAACGAGACTATTACACTATACATATATGCTAGGATAATTCTGGAGGGCGAGAGTGGAAACTACTACAACTACAAATGAGACAAGAAATTTGAACGAAAATGGAATTGTGATAGCCGCACGTAAGGTGCACACAAAGTCATTTATTGCGGATAAGTTAGCAAGAAATCCAGAGAAGAAACAGACTCCACAGACTCAGAACAGCCTTGTAACAATCCATCATCTATCCACCCCCATACAACCATACACCCCTGAAACTGAACTAAAGTATAAACGTCTGAACGAGCGAGAGGTGACACCAGGTCGCAGAAATAGCGAGAGGAACACGCTACACAGCCGTTCGCTGAATAGAATATAATATATGTACAGCGATCATGCATATATCTATAGTTGAGAGAGCAAGGAGCGCGCATGCTACATGCGTCGGCCACGAATTAAACTGTTGATAACTAAACTTTGATATTAGTTTGTAAAGAGAATATTTTGTATGTACGTTTAATTTACTCGATGTCCTTTGAATAACCACAAACAACCACACAATACAGAACACACAAACACCGCCAAACGTAAACTCTGCAAGCACACAATCCACAGAAGCAAGACCGAAATTAAAACGTAATTCGTTTAAACAAACAAATCTAATCCAAGGAAGGAAATTATTTCATTTTTCATATCGAAATTACAAAACCATGAAACCCAAACTGTGGCACACATACAGTGTAGCCCAAGACACAAAAATCGTAATGGTACGAGTAACTAAGTAGACACCACAAATTTTTCTTTAAGTTCTTTTGTACAATTATCCTTTTTATAGATTAATAAATGCTTGTTAGATCCAGCAAAATGAATTGAAACCTAGCTCTTTTTCTGGTTTTTTGAGGAGGCACACAAGGCACGGCCATTAGTTCAGATTAGTTCATTTACACCATTTGGATGTCGAAGTTCTCTCCCCCCACTCCTCTATGAAGGAAGTCCACATCATCTGTGACGAATGCCCAGTTCAAAAGCAAATTCCTAGTTCAGGTTACTAAATGATTCATGGGGTTCGGGGCACGTTTCTTTGAAGAGAGAACGTACTTGGCAAGCCTTTGGAAAAACGTGCAGATTATTGGAAACTTTTGGCATCGCCTGTAATGAAATTAATTAAAATCCTCTCGTCGCCTTTGGCTCCGGTCAAAAGTTGCGATAACTTTCTCTGCCCACCAGGGGGTGGGAGCGGATTGAAGCTCTCTGTAATTACACCTAATTGCAATTGCTTCAACTGGCAACGAGCTGGGGACTGCGCCCACTCTCGCAGCCTCGTTCCAACCATCAGTGACTGCAAGGTGCTGCAATCCATGTCAAGGCTGTCAGGAATATCCGTCCTGATTTCCAGCATTATTTCTCCCATTAATGTCGAATTGTTCCGCCTGCACGCCTGTGGGACGTTTATAATAAAGCAGCACGCTCCAAACAGGACCCAGTAGAGGAGTTTCCCACGGTAGGAGGGAACTATGTAAGAGATTTTCCAGCCCTGTACAGGGGCCCTGTCAACCATTCGCCTGTGCCAGCTGTGGAGGGCAGGAGCAAAACCATATAATACTGAGAGCTGGATACGCAACTGAGGGAAGACCGCAACAAAGGTTTCAAATTGTATTTCCCTTGGCTCCGATTCCCTGCACGGGCAGCTGGCACAGTTGATGTCTGTTGGGTTCATGTTGGTGTCGTTCAGGGGCTTCCTTTGTCCTGACTCTTCGTCCTGGTTATGCGAGTGTGCGTTGGCCAGCATTTGTACGAGTATTTGGCTTTTCGTTATGGCTCCGGAAAGCTGTTGGACCTGGTCAGTGGACAAATGACAAGCAACTAAAACGATGATGATGAGCTAACAGATTGCACAACCAAAGCCAGTACCGCTTTGGACAACACTAAATGCTGTGTCTTGAAAAGGATGGGGCAAGTATACCTTTGGGCTATGTTTTTGGGCCCACTTTGAACCCACGAATTCAATATTATGGCCTATGATACAGTATTCGATTGGATCGTATGCGAAAATACCTAATAGTAAGTTCCCCACTGCCGAGCAGCTATACAAATAATTCACTGTCCCTCTTTTTCTTCATGGCCTCCATGAGCCAACAGATTTACTTTACCAAGAAGTCCATCCTACGTCCTACGAAGCCTACGTCTATAAGTTCGAACAACCGCTTTATCGCTGTAAAAGTGGTGGAGTGAGTAATTCGTGGGTGAAATGACTGAGAGAGAGAGATGAAATGGCAGGGATGTCAAAGTGTTTGCAGAAATAATTTGTATAAGTTACTCAATGTTTGACGGGCTTACTCTTTTTTTTCTATTTCTATTCGATTTAAAAACAAATCGTTCAACCTGTACTGAAGTGTGCCATACAGATGTATACCTAATTTTTTTTTTACACGGTAGATTGGTTCTTGAATAAACCGTGTAAAACACCATGTAAAAAATACATTGATCGTATGCAACAATAGGGGATTGGTTCCTTATCTCTAAAACCTACTAAAATTAGGGAAAAAATTAGAAAACGTTGAAAATCAAATTTGCGTATAAAAAATAAATTTTTTATCTATGTATTTGTGTTGATTTATTTTGAACCGTGCTAAATGGAATAAAACCGTGTAAAAAATTCAAAACTTATGATTTTCAAACCGTGTTAAAAAAGTCCGTGTAAACACAGAATTAGGTGTAGTATGACACACGCCTTAACAAATTATTTCATGTGATATTGATCGCCCACACGTGCAAACCTAACTCGTCGCAGCCCTGCCTTGTAATTGTTAGCGCAAATCTCCATCCAGATGCCATAACTCAGCAGTGAGCTACGCCGAATGTCATATCATTGTAATTTACGGCATTCCCATGGCAGGAATCATCTGCGTTATCCTGTGTCTCTCAATCTTTGTGGCCACTTTAGAAGGCACAATAACTTCTACAATATAACCTTCCATGTAGTAAACAAATTTCACAAATGTTGTTTTTCAATATACACTTCTATAAAGATACAGATAAGCATAGAAAGATCCGCTTGGGCCAACGGATTGCTTCTGTGTTGTTCCTAGTCATACACATAACTAGTTGTATGGGCATTTCCGCGGGTGGACCTATTTTAATATTGTACAAATACATATTAATGTATCATTCGAGTACTTTTTCTGTCGAACAGTTCCTATCTGGCCTGCCGAAAATAGTAAATAATTTACATGGCCATTAATTAAAATGCCTTTATTCCACCGCACCATCAAACTGTTCGACTGGAAAATCAACTCAAATAGCAACGAGTATTCGCCGTGTGGCACTGTGGTGCTGTGAGGCAGTGGGAAGGACACGAGATGATGCCAAACCTGACAGGACAGACCCTGGGACTCTGCCAGGACAATGCAATGGTGACACCCATTGTGTGGGCGGTGGAAGTGGGAAAGCAGTAGAACTGAATGTGACATGTTTTTCTGCTCTATCTCTGTGTCGGTCTGTCAGTCTGTCGGTCTGTCCCTCTGTTGGCCTGTCCATCAATGTTGTCCCATGGATGAAAAGTGTCACCTGCAAGCTCTTTTAGATTGAACAAACAACAAAATCAGAAAAACCTGTCGAGACTTTGGTATTTCTGTCTGGTATCTCTGATAGTTTCATCTGAACTTGTTCTCAGTAGCAGTAGCTGTCCAGCTTTAGATATTCATAAATACTACATTCCGTTGCAGGCCATTAACTGAGTGCCAAAACCAAAACGAACTAACTATTGTCTCGAAACGCACTTCGAATAAAAGTCAATTGTCAGTCGCTGGTTTTTGGTTTCTATACCCTGTATAGGCAGAGCACAAGGGTGTATTGTATACGGAACATTATACATAGGTATAGTAAATCATATATCAACTACGAGTATCGCATACTTATCGGAGTACTGTACTGTAAGGATGCAACTATTCCGTTCTGAAGTTTTGAAGCCAAATTTGTCGCCCGATTAGGCAGACGAAAGAGCATAATATACTAGTAAATTGAACATGAACGAGGGGGAACGTTGAGAGTTGCTGCTGCGACCGCAACTCCACATTTATACCCGATACTTAGTCAGTATGGCTTTCCTCCGGCAGACGCCGCTAATATTAAGAAAGAGTTCGTGCGAGAGAGACAGAAAATCAGTCTGAGCGTGACGTCGGGCGCTGCGTAGCCACTGCAAATTGATTTGTTCCTTTTGGCTATAAAAATGATCCGATCAGAACCAGATTCAGCAATCTGATAGATATGGTCATTCTCTATGATTGCGCGTTTTTAGTTTTCTCGAATCTTCAATATTGTGGATGCCACAGATTTTCGTCCTTTGTGGAGGTCCCTTCCGCCTCCAGTGGGCCGGAATTTTGAAATGTACGTGTAATAGTGACATATTACAGAAGTCTGGATACAAAATGTCGTTGCTCTAGCTCTTATAATCTTTGAGCCCTAGGCGCTTATAGGGACGGACAGACAGACGGGGCTCAATCGACTCGGCTATTGATGCTGATCAAGAATATATATACTTTATGGGGTCGGAAACAATCCCCCTGGACGTTATACACATCCATTTTCACCACAAATCTAATAAATGTATGTACGCCTACACTCATTTTAAGTATCTTGATTTTTATTGAATAATTGTTATTATAATTGTTATTTTTGATTTTTTTGAATAATTGTTATTATAATTGTTATTTTTGATTTTTTTGAATAATTGTTATTATAATGGTTATTCTTGATTTTTATTGAATAATTGTTATTCTTGATTTTTATTGAATAATTGTTATTATAATTGTTATTCTTGATTTTTATTGAATAATTGTTATTTTTGATTTTTATTGAATAATTGTTATTATAATTGTTATTCTTGATTTTTATTGAATAATTGTTATTCTTGATTTTTATTGAATAATTGTTATTATAATTGTTATTTTTGATTTTTTTGAATAATTGTTATTATAATTGTTATTCTTGATTTTTATTGAATAATTGTTATTATAATTGTTATTCTTGATTTTTATTGAATAATTGTTATTTTTGATTTTTATTGAATAATTGTTATTATAATTGTTATTCTTGATTTTTATTGAATAATTGTTATTCTTGATTTTTATTGAATAATTGTTATTTTTGATTTTTATTGAATAATTGTTATTATAATTGTTATTTTTGATTTTTTTGAATAATTGTTATTATAATGGTTATTCTTGATTTTTATTGAATAATTGTTATTCTTGATTTTTATTGAATAATTGTTATTATAATTGTTATTCTTGATTTTTATTGAATAATTGTTATTTTTGATTTTTATTGAATAATTGTTATTATAATTGTTATTCTTGATTTTTATTGAATAATTGTTATTCTTGATTTTTATTGAATAATTGTTATTATAATTGTTATTTTTGATTTTTTTGAATAATTGTTATTATAATTGTTATTTTTGATTTTTTTGAATAATTGTTATTATAATTGTTATTCTTGATTTTTATTGAATAATTGTTATTTTTGATTTTTATTGAATAATTGTTATTATAATTGTTATTCTTGATTTTTATTGAATAATTGTTATTCTTGATTTTTATTGAATAATTGTTATTTTTGATTTTTTAGAATAATTGTTATTTTTGATTTTTTTTTAATAATTGTTATTATAATTGTTATTCTTGATTTTTATTGAATAATTGTTATTCTTGATTTTTATTGAATAATTGTTATTTTTGATTTTTATTGAATAATTGTTATTATAATTGTTATTTTTGATTTTTTTGAATAATTGTTATTATAATGGTTATTCTTGATTTTTATTGAATAATTGTTATTCTTGATTTTTATTGAATAATTGTTATTATAATTGTTA